ATATATGTCATATCACACCTGTACTTAGGAATCTACACTGGTTACCCCTTGAAATGAGAACCACATACAAAATGGGCTTACTCGTCTATAAAATTCTTAATGACTCTGCCCCCACTTATCTCACTGAACTGATATCAATCTATGTTCCATCCCGCTCTAACCTGCGTTCGGTAAACCAACTGTGCCGTGTAGTTGAACCTAGATCTAGAAACTCCTGGGGTGAGAGATCCTTCATGGTCGCTGCGGCCAGAGTTTGGAATACACTTCCACTCCAGATCAAGGCTTCATCCTCCACACACGAATTTAAAACTAATCTTAAAACCTTCTTATTTTAAACTTACTTTACATTATTCAGGGTCGGATTTAGGGGGGTGCCGGCCCGGCCCCGGCCTCCCCCTTTGGGAAGTTAAAAAAAAGAAAAGAGAAAGAAAAAAGAAAGAAAAAGAAAAAAATGATAGCCCAGAACGCTTAAAATGTTATTTTCGGGCGTCTAGAACACAAAAATTTCGCGGGGCATGCCCCCCGGACCCCCGTAGGACATTGTTGTCTCGTTCGGCACAAATTTCGGTCCCCCTTTGGTCCCCTCCCCTTTTGGACATCTCTGGATCCGCCCCTGTAATTTCCTAACTTTTTACACTTACTTTACTTGGGTCAGCGTCGCTGCCTCGGTGGTGCACGGTAGTGGAGCCTGAGGCATAGGCCAAAGGTGGAAACTATTGGAGCCCAGCATACCACCTTGTGTAGAGTATCTGCGAATACATGGCTACATAGAGAGAGTGACGCTGACCCAAGTACGGCTCATGTAATTTAATTGATTCTGGTCCTTAAACTTCATTGTTTCTTTTGTCGGTCATATTTTTGACTTCTTGTGGAGGGGCGCCATGAGCGTTTTCTTCAAACGGATACCGGCCCTTTAAAAGTTTTCATTATTATTATTATTATTATTATTATTATTAATATTATTATTATTATTATTATTATTATTATTATTATTATTATTATTATTATTATTATTATTATTATTACTATTATTATTATTATTATTATTATTATTATTATTATTATTATTTTTATTATTATTATTATAGCCCTAACCCAGCTAGGCCTTACATAGTGATTTTGTTTTGTGTCTGTACGTGAAAAGACGCAGCAAAACCATTTTATTCGATTTGTGCGCTATGGCTAATTATCTTAATCAAATAAATAATATAGTTTGTGACTCTTACCAATTAGTAAACAGGTAGAGTTCGATGTATATTATCAAAATATCAAAGAAAAAAGTGAAAAATCCTTCTTTAGATTTCTGTCTCTTCATCTTATCGATCAATACGTTCAACAACATGTTGACTTTGTTCAATATTTTTTAGCCAAATGATAATAAACCATCTACTGCAAGACTAAACGGGTTTAAAAAAAATATATATTGATTTTAATCTGAGAACGCAATATCATTATCTATATAGCCTTCAAATCCCTTATAACAGTAAGTACCGCTATAAGTACACTTAGTGCTATTATTTACTTCCATATTTTAATATTTGTTGTGTAATCTGAAACAAAAGTAATTAATTTGATTTCATTTGATATAGCCTAACTCATTATCGGCCACCACAGAAACATCCAGTTTTTGTGAGGTGGCCAACTGCCAACTACTCATTCATTAAAAATGTATTTATGTAATCACTTAAACATTTATATCATGGAAATCGGGCACATATAAATATATAATATATATACTATTTATATAATGAAAATTGGAGATATATATTTTTGACATCTAACGACGTATCGCCTGCAGTGGCAGGTGATGAATTTGTAAACAGATTAAACGAGATTCTAGTGTTAAAAACTTAATTTGTTAAGGAATGTATGGAAGAAAATAGCAAGGGTTATATTGAGCACGAAAGTTAAACATTGAAAAAGCGGAATCTAATAAGAATGTACATCAATAATAAAGCATTTGGCCACAATGGCACAGCAGAAGCGCAGGATCAGTAAAAGCACATAATTACTTAAAACGCATAGAAGAAAGAAAACTTCGAACAAAAAACTCACGATATCAAGAAAACCAATAGGCCTATTTCAAAAACTTCTGGAAGTTTGTAAAACTCGGTGTCCTTGAGTGGTTCCCTTTCCTCTTTATTCAACCTTGATCCTGTGCGTCCTAGAGACGTAAGAAAAATAATACGAAGAAAACTGAAATCAGCACCAGGTGAAGGCAGGTGCTACGGAAATTGCCGGCTATCCATCATGTATACTTGCAACCCTCTAAAGCAAACTACTCGCTACCGGAAACACGCCATCTAGTTGGTCACACAGCCCAACCAAAACTGACAATTTTCGAATAGTCGCCCTTACATAGCCTAATGTATGTGAAGACTTTTTCATCAAATCGTTGTAGATCGCATAGCAACTTACCTGACTCCAAATCAAATGATCGAATAGGAATAAATGATTGATGCAGAACATACGATGGTAGGCTTAATAAATAAACTTTTAGCACATGCGCGGAACAAGGAAAGAACGATTCATGTCACTTTTTTCGGCTTTTTTTTTGCATTTGGTTCAGTAGAACACGATCCACTATCCGATTGAGAGATCCGTAATCCCAACAGAGATACGGAAATACATTGCAAATCTTTACTTGAGCTGAAGGGAAAGTTCATACAGGACGCCTGACTGGGAGTCCTCGTATTTCAACTTCAGGCGAGCAGTATTTCAAGGCGATCGACTTCCTCCAAAAATCTTCTAAGTAGTTTTAACCCCATGCTATCCATTACCATAGAACAGTAGAGCAGCATTGTTATGAGCTTGATTGAATATCATTTATTACGTTACCATTTGCGGACGATTTTTGTATAGACCTAATAACAAAAAATAAAATAACACATCAAATATTTATAAATAGAATAATCGACATGACATCTTCAATGAAACTTATGTTAAATCCGTTAAATGCGAAAGCATTGGGGTGTAAATCAAGAAGAGAGTCTGCGTTTTCTCTGTCGAAAACACGGCTCTAAAAAACTTCAAGAATCCATGAAACAGCCATAACAAAAGTTTAAAAAAATGATAGCTGGTCTATAGTATGAAAACCTATGTTAAGGAAATCCTTTTTGACAACAGACTAAATCTCTGTAACGAATTTATATGGCCACTATTGCAACAGGGTGAACTAAAATTAATGCACTTCATATAAGCTGATCATATCAGCTAGATCAACCATCTATGATTTACCCCGGGATGTATTGAGCTTTGCTGTGGGCTTCCTTCTCACTCTGGAAAAATTCCGCACAGCTTTTCTAAGTAAATTCACGCTCGACATAAACCGTTTAATGCAACGTGATATTTTTGGTCGCATCTCTGCTTTATCAAATTTGAAAAATAATTCAAACCGTCGTGCTTAAAAAAAACCCGTCAAGAAGCTAAATAAAAATGCTCTACCCACAATGCTTATGTATATATATATATATATATATATAATATATTGTTATATAACAGAAAAACCACGGGTCTATAGGCAGTAACAGAAAACCACGGGTAGGCAATAAACTTTAGGTATCACAGTTACCGTTTAATGCAACGTGATATTTTCTCAAAAAAATTTTGGTCGCATCTTTGCTTTATCAAATTTGAAAAAATGATTCAAACCGTCGTGCTTAAAAAAAACCCGTCAAGAAGCTAAATAAAAATGCTCTAGCCGCAATGCTTATGTAATTTTTATTATTTGAGTATTAAAATATTTAAATTTGCTGGTAGAAACTGTTGCAGTGTACTCTAACTGTAGAATGTAGAATTGATGTTTTCTAATACTGTAGGGCCTACCCGTGAATTGCGATGACAGCGATGGTTTTCTTTTAGGTTCAACGTTTACCGTAATCGCGCGAATAAGCGAACCGTTTGAATAACCGCCCCTCCTAACGTGAAAATTTCTTTAAGCGCCCCGTTTGAATAAGCGCCCTATTTCATAATAATTTCATAAGATTTTCTTTTTAGCAAGTCAATAACCCAATCAATCCTGGGACTGTGGTTGTTGGCATGATTTGAGCTGCAGAGTTGAAACACATTCTTCTTAGTTCAATATCAAAATGAGAATAGTTCTCTTGGACTGGTGGTGAGAGCTCCGATTCCTGGACAGAGAGTATATTTCCAACTTTACACTTTTTACATATTTGTCTATGCGTCACGACCTTTAGCACATTCCCATCTGAGTTTTCAAGAAAAAATACAATGATCCTGCCATCCTGCTAATCTCAATCGGCCGATGGTCAACAAGCTAACCACTACCCACCATCACTAATTGCATCTGCTATTTTGCTGTTATGATATTTACGCATTCTTGTCATGAGCCATGTTCTCTGGACGATTACCGGTATCTTTTCCGCCTAAATAATCTTTTTTTCATTCAAAAAGTGCATGAATTTAATAATTTCCCATAATAACCCCTCGATTTTCATCTATTTCTATAAGCCCCCCTCAATTTCCACTCTGTTTTCATAAGACCCCGTTCGAATAAGCGCCCCATTTGAATAAGCGCTCCTCAGAAAGTGCAAAAAAATATTTTATTATTCGCCTGAGTACGGTATATTGAAAGCGATTTTTATACCTCCATGTTGAAAGGTAATAATTATCGTTTAGGTGGCAGTGTTCTTTTTATTTTTAAATACGTCACTCTTGTTCCATTATACGTTTGAGCAAATATAATAGAGAAACAAGATAGTTCTTCACAGAAAATAACTGTTCCACCGAAATGCATGGTGGGAATACAAACAATGAGGCGCCGCGTAGGGCTGGATCTAAAAACCTTTTGCCACCGTTACATAACTGTGAATACATAACCTCCTTTTGCGGAGGTTGATATCGTTGCCATTATCCATAAGACAGACACAAAAGCGCAGATTCGTAGGACCGGACTCTGATTAGTGATAAAGTTTTCCTCCATTAGTGAAAAAGAAGGGCGCCGCGTGCAACAAAAGGGCGCCCTGTACGTCTGGACCAAGTATAGAAAACTTGCAATGCGTATTCGACTGGTCTGTTTTGAGCAGGTCTTTCTACTCAAACTGCACATGTCGTATTCGATTGGCCGCACGAGTAGCCCGAACTCCTCGCAAGAGCGGCTCGAACTCCTCGCTGTATTTTAACGAGCACACCCCGAGTAGTAAATCACTCCTCGGAAAAGGACCGATTGAATACGAATAATTAAAAGAGAAGGGCGCCGCGTACGCCTGGACCAATTTCCGTCTCATTTTTGCTATGCGCGATTGCTCTATCTTGTATTTCTAACATCTTTGGTTACCGCAATAGGTCCGTTCGCTCCGCATAATACATTTCTTTTTCTGTATAGTCCAATTCCTTTTGAATGCTCCACCTCACTTTGTTTGACATAAATTGTGACAAAATTTACGTACTCAAATGTTAAAGGAGATAGTAGGGCATGGGCTGGAGAACGGGGGTAACATTTATGCCCATAACCTGTGAATTAAAAAGCTCATAAATATTATTTTGGTAGCAATATGTAGCATACAGTATATTTTTCTTAATCATATGCAGTTTAAATAAAATTAATCCGACGATTATTAATGTCACAAGAGGTCAATAGGTCATCGACCTTTTTCTAAAATGCAAAGTTTTGTATATCTCAGTGTCATATCTCTAATTTTGGAAGTATTTGATACAAATTGTGTTTTTCTTGTACATATTGACATATGGAATACAAAAATTGATGTTAACGAGAAAAAAATTAAAATGAATTATGTACTATTGTACATTGTTTATGATCCTAGAAATTTGTAATCAACAACAGTTTTGGGGCAGGGGGTAACATCTATGCTCTTGATTTATTTAATGGATTTGTATGATGTTGGTATCAACATTTAGCCTATAGATTGGTTTGAAAAAGTTTTGAAACAGGCAGAAATTGACGTAACTAGAGGTCAAAAGGTCATTGACCTCCACAGAAAAGTTGTAAATTTATTCCCAATTCATTCCCAAATGTTTACAAATTTAACAAGAAAAATGTATACATTGATTAAATGTACTACTGTCATTGCGTTATGATCCTAGAATTTTTTTTCGGGTAGGGGGAAACGTTTTTGCTCATAACTCTTGATTTAGTCAATGGATTTGTATGATGTTGGTATCACCATTTAACCTATAGATTGGTTAATCATTCAAATTGAAAAAGTTTTGAAACGGGCAGAAATTGACGTGACTAGAGGTCAAAAAGTCATTGACCTCCGCAGTATCGTTTCAAAATAAATCCGATAAAATTGTGTATACGCTTTACATTATATATTAAAATTATAAATGATAGATAAGTGAGAAATAATAAAAATGATATGTCTAAACTACCGTATTCGCGCGAATAAGCGCCCCGTTTAAATAAGCGACCCCTTCTAATTTCAATAAACGCCCCTCAATAATCCAATCAATCCTGGGACTGTTGATGTTGGCATGATTTGAGGTGTGTAGTGGAATCACATTCCCCTTTAGTCAATATCAAAATGAGGATATTTATCTTGGACAGATGAGAACTCCCTGAACAGACAGTACATTTCCAACTTTCATCTTCTTACATTTGTCTATAGCCTAGTCCACTCCTTTTCCGACAATTTGCACCTTTAACACATTCTCATTTGAGTTTTCAAGAAAACCTGCAATGATCTTGTCGTCCTGCTAATCTCAATCGGCCGATGGCCAACAAGCTAACCACCACTACTAATTTCATCTGCTATTCTGCTGTTATGTAATACTGTACTCATAACATTCTTGTCATGACAAGCCATGCTCTCTGGACGATTATCTTTTCCGCCGCACTACCATTCGTAATTTGCGGATTCCTGATGTCCTTATATAATCGTTTTCATTCAAAATGTACCTCTAGAATTTAATAAGTTATCATAAGAACCCCTCGATTTTCATCTATTTCCATAAGTGCCCCCTCAATTTCCACTCTGTTTTCATAAGCGTCCCGTTCGAATAAGCGCCCCGTTTGAATAAGCTCCCCTCAAAAAGTGCAAAATATATTTTAAGCGCTCGGGCGCTTATTCGCGCGAGTACGGTACTCACAATTCCATAAATAAATCATAGTTGCCATTGACTTCCAGAAGCTCATCCGCAATCTGAGTGGGTTTGTCTGTTTAGTCCCCGACAAAGTGACCAGGTGGTGTCAAACGCAGGAATAAACAATACATACATCTTCATTGATGAATAACATTTTTTTGTGTATTTTTAAGTGTGTATATTTCTGCTTACATGTACATGTGTATGGCTATGTGCATGTATTCATATGTGTGCGTATAATGTACGTATTTGCGTATCTCTGTGGGCGTAATATGTGTATATGTATTGGTGGGTGTGGGTATAGATTTGCATACATGCTTATGATATATAATAGGCCTAATATTTATTTTCCATAAAGTTTCTTTTATTTAAAAATGTTTATTTCACTTCAAACAATATGTATATCTCTAGTTAAGATATTAATGGAAATTGATTGATATTTTCACGATGTACTATCTGTTCAGTTCCACCGATGTAAATGGTGTAATAATAATAATAATAATAATAATAATAATAATAATTAATAATAATAATAATAATAATAATAATAATAATAATAATAATAATAATAATAATAATAATAATAATAATAATAATAGACCATTCTTAAATAGCGCAAGTAAGTAAGCTGTCAATGCGCTGTATATATATATAAAACACAACAGAATAAGAATGTCATGTTAAATTAATGAAAAACTTGAAAAGGTCTGTAGCTAGAGTTTAAAGTAACACACTGTCTGATGGAGTAGGACGGAATACCCAAGAACCCAAGACCAAG